TGTGACCCTGTCCTGCTGTTGGTGTCAAGCAGCAAGAAGCAGCCTTGGCTCTCCCACTTCCAGGGTGAGAATGGCATGGAAGGAGGTGTGGGCGCAGAGCAGGTGGGGCTGACTGCCTGGAGGAGCCCCTCAGGGCCAGAAGCCAACCGACAGGGGGTGCTCCAGCTGTGCCTCAGCCTCAAGCCCAGCTGGTTGTACTGCGCCCAGTCGAGACCCCTTGGTGTGAATCTGTCCTACTCTGGCCATTCTCGGGGCGATGCTGCTGGAGACTGTGGTCAGAGCATACTCCATCAAAGCCTTACTCCCCTTCGGCTTTAAGGCTACGCTAGGATCTAGATGGCCTCTGTCCAGCTCTTCGTCCTGATCTCCAATGCTACGCCATGCAACTGGATTCAGCACTTTCCTTCTCCTGTCCTGGCTCCTGCCCAGCACCCCACAGGTCTTCCACTGCTGCACCGAGACCAGTACTGCTCGGAGCTCTTAGCACACTGTCACTCTCCAGCAACACACCATGAGCCGTAGTGCGTGATCAGGACGTCAGAGCAGCTGGGCATGACAGCACAGGAGGCTAAGGCAGGAGGATCAGAGGTTCAAGTCCTAGGGCTGGGGACATAACTCAGTGGAATAAGTGACTGCCTAGCAAATGCAAGGTGGTGCATTTGACTCCTGGTAGCAAAAAAAAAAAAAAACTTCAGGTCCTGCCTGGGTAACTTCATGATACCCTGGGTTAGGTACCTTGGCATCATTAAGTTAATGATGTCTTGAACAAGCAAAAACAAAAAATGGGTGAGGACATACTTAGTGATATCTGAATTTGATGCATGGGTACCACCAAAAGAGGAAAAAACTGGACTAGAGGGAATGTAGGAAAAAAACAGAGAAGATGAACAAACCCAAAAGATGGCTTTGGAAAAGATCAACAAAATTGACAAATCATGGGCTGCACTTCGAAAAAGAGAGAAGACAGAATGATTAAACTTATTACTATCAACTTCAGAGACATAAAAAGGCTTATGAGCAATGTACAGACTGCATACCAATAAATTAGGTAACATGGGGAAATGAATACACCCCTGAAAACACAAAGGCTGCTCCAACCAAGTCAGAACAAACCAAAAATTCTGAATAGACCTAGGACAACTACAGAGATTGATACAGGAAAGAAAAGGAAAAGGAAAGAAAGAAAATGAAAAGGAAAGAAAAGAAAATGAAAATGAAAGAAAAAGAAAAGGCCCCCTGCGACGCCCTTGGCCCTCGAGCCTACACTGTGATTCTAACGAACCCTTCCCAAACTCTCCCGGGGGCGGGGGGGTGGTGGTGGTGGTGGTGAGGCTTTTTAAGAGCCCAGCACTACCTTGATACCAAGCCAGGCAAACTTGACAAGAGGAGACCAAAGATTCCTCATGAATATAGATACAAAACCCCACAACGACACTAGCAAACGAAACCTGTCATCCAAAGACGCAGTATGGTGTACAAAACCCAACACAGCACATACTGACGAGGAAAGAGCACACATCTTCTCCAGGCACCCAGAAAAACATCTGACAAAACCCAGTGTCTCGGCCAGGCGTGGTAACATTCACCTGTAATCCTAGCAACCAGGAAGCCCAGCACAAGGCAGGAGGATTGCCACGTGTTTGAGGCCAGCCCCATTACACAGTGAGTTCAAGGCTGGCTTGAACTAGACCCTGTCTCAAAAAAAAAAAAAAAAAAAGGTGCTTGTCCATGTGCACATGGGATCTCGTACATGGGAAATCCAGTGGAATGTATGAAAGAGCGTTAGACCCAAAAAAGGACAAGGGGTGCCACAGTGGCAGCCCATAGACACTGTGTCCCCACCGGCAGGGACCGGGGCTGGCTGAGGAGAACAGGGTGGGAGGGAGCGGGTAAGGCCTCCGCCACGGTGGAGGGCCTGCCCCACAGCCATCCTCTGGCCCCGTCTGGAGGCCAGGCAGCCACGAAGGGTGGGGATAGGCCTCGAGAGCCACTCACGGTTCTAAGCCAAGCTGACTGCCCATCAGCTCGCCACGTATAGGACAGGGACATTTATGAGGATGATGACACCAGACACAAGAAAATTCAACAACCAGGAGGAGCTGACCATGGTCACCCAGCGGTACAAGTCCATCACAGATCTTCTGAGGCCTGGGCCCTGGCTAATGGAAATGACTGGACTTTCACTGGCTTTGACAAATCAATAAGAACCTGCTGCTATCTTGTTTTGCTATCTTTGTTTTAGGAGCAGGAGCCTGCTCCTCCTCCCCCATCAATATATAAAAATAAGCCAGGCACTGGAGAAACTGAGGCAGGAGGCTCACAAGTTCAGCCTGCCTGGACTACACGGTGAGACCCTGCCTCAAAAATGAAACAACAGCCCCAAAACAAAGCAACTCCCCCTCCAAAGACATTAAAAACAAAAATCTACAGTATCAACAATCTAAACTCACAACTTCATATTATTCCATGTCAGCATCAAAAAGGACTCAGGAGTCACTGTAATGAAGCGTAAAACATGTTCTGAACACTGTGAAACTTACTGCGTGACACAAAAGAGCCGGATAAATGGGAGGCCCGGGTTGGCAGGGCAATTAATTCCTGCTGAAATCGCAGTTGGCGTTTTTGGTTTTGGCAGAAATTAACAAATAGGTGAAAACACACACACAAAAGTTGAAAACTCACACAGACACAGGGGAAGACCCTGAGTATTTTGAAAAAGGGGCAGGACTCCTTATTTCCTGATTTCACTATCGTAACAAGGCCCAGCACACAGGACAGCTTGCAAGGACAGGAACTCAGGGCACGCACAGAACGCGGTGTGTGGTGTAAACCCCTCGGCCGCGGCCCAAAGATCCTGACAAAGGGGTCAGGAAAATCTAGTGGTGAAGCAAAAAGACGTCAGTATACCTGGGTGTCTGTGTGTGAAAGAGTGAACTGGGCACCTAACTCACAGCAGAGACAGCATTAACTCAAAATGCATGACACACCTAAATGTGAGAACTAGAAATAGTGCCTGCCTGCCAAGTGTAAAGTCCTGAGTTTGATTCCTAGTAACAAAGAAAAACCAACAACAATAACAACAACAACAACAACAAAAAAAAAAAAACCCCAAAAACCAAAAAACAAACTAGATCTATAAAACTCCTAATAGGAAGTTGGGCATGGTGGCCCACACCTGTAATTCTAGCACTCAGGAGGCTGAGGCAGGAGGATTTTTGGGAGTTCGAGATCAGTCTGGGCTACAAAGTGAGCTCAAGGCTAGCCCAAACTGCATAGCAAGACCCTGTCTCAAAAAGACAAAACAAAGCAAACCAAAAACCCCTGACAGGAAACACAGGTATAAATTTATAAACTGCTAGATTAGGTGACAGTGCTTTGTACACAAACGCTCACAGCACGTTATGCAGTGTCCTGAGAACAGGCAGGCTGCATGGCCGTCAGCTGCTGGATGAAGGAATGGAACCGGGTCTCCAGCTGAGGCATCACTGGGTGTAGGAACAGAGAACGGACCCGAGGGGCCATAGCACACACGAACTCGGACCACACAGCTCTTAGAGAGGTGCAGGACAAGAACGGCCCCACATCACGGACTGCACCTCCAGAAGTATGCAAACAGGAAACGCTCGCAATGAAAACCAGATCAGGCTGAGCAGGGCTGCAGCAGCTGCAGGGCTGGGTTTCTGTTGGGGGTGAGAGACGGTTCTACCCCAGCCCGTGGTGCCTGCTGCACAACCTCGTGAACCCACGAGTCACTGGGTGTCAGGGTGAGTCTTACGTGTGTGAGCTGGCACACCTTCTGCCTCTGTGGTGCTGGGACCGGCCTGAGGACTCACTCAGGCCTCAATGAGCTTACCTACCCCGCCTTGTTCAGGGCGGGCTCCACGGCCAGTGGAGTCACCTGCACGCCAGCTTGCCATCCTGTCATCACATGGCTGTGGTGCTGACAAGGTGGGTGACAAGCTTGTGGGGTGCCCAGGAACACACCACCATGTACATGGGTCACAGTTCCCAAAGTGTGAGGCTGGGGGAACAGCACTGTGTAATCCACGGGGCACTGTATCCCCATCAATTTCACTGGGCCCTCGAAACTCACAAGGAAGAACAACCTGCAGGCCAGACTTCTCCTTGTTTTTTGAAGCAGCCTGACCGTGCTGCCTAGGCTGGATTCCAACCTCCTGGGCTCGAGGGATCCTCCTGCCTCAACCTTACAGTAGCTGGAACTGTGCGGGGGTCACCACACGGGTTCTGCCTGCCCCCACACAGCCTGCTGCCCCCACAGTTAGCTCTACACGGTGTGTCCCTCCATCTTTGTGGCCTCACCCTCATCCCCGAATGGATGGTCAGGGCACAGGCATCTCCCCTAAGTCCAGATCTCCTGTCTCCACTGTGGGGGACCTCGTACTGCCACTGCCACCTCCACACATGGCAGTTTCATGTCTTCAACGGGGCCGGAGTGTGGGGTGAGCAGGAGCGTGGGCAGAAGGCCACGCATTCCAACAGAACCACGTGGCTCAGGAGCCACAACCTCGGGTCTCAGTTCAGAGGCTCTGAGCAGCAGCCTCCAGCCAGAGCTCACCCCGTGCTGCGGGAGCCAGCAGAGGTGGGCACAGGGAGCGGGTGTTCATGATCGGGTGGGACCCACATACAACTCCCAAGAGACACGGCTCTGCCACAGTCTACTCAACTGTTCCCTACCTTCACCTTTGAATACTGTTGGGGTTTTCTTTTTGGATTTTTTGAGTTCTCTATAAAACCCGGTCTGGTTCCCAATGCTTGAGTCTCCCAGCATTCTGGGATTACAGGTATGTGCCATCACTCTGTTTGGTATTGTTCGATTTGGAAAAAAATAGGTTCATTTTAGAAAAAGACAGATGTAAAAATTTTTCCTTTCACCTGGAAACACTCAAGTGTGTACTCAGATAACCCTTAATAATCAGCAACAAACCTCAGACCCTGGATTCCACGCTGGGGGCCAGCAGCGAGCTGTGCGCTCCACCTACCTGGACTGGCGGCTCGATGGCAATCCAGGCCGGGAGCATCAGGCTGGGATTCAGAGGCTGGGTTCCGACCCGGAAGTAAACGCCGCCCCTGGAGTCACAGGCCCAGATGTGCTGGTTTCCACAGGCCAAGCTGGTCAGCTTTACAGCTCCTGCAGACAAACATAGGAAAGAGACCTACACTGTAATTATGTTTGTAAAGTGACCACGTTTCGGGTAATCTGTGAACTTTGATTTTATACTTCAAAGGAAGAGGGGAGGTGAGACTGCAGCTGAACCCTGGCTGTGGTCTTCCAGGGAGAGCCCCTGGCTCATGACACACCCTGGCGCAGGGTGTCACACAGGTCTCCAGCTGTTCACCACTGCCGGCACCGCATGGTGCCTCCGAGACTGCAGTGTCCCGGTGCCTGGGACAGCGCTGGGCAGTGTAAATGTCTCGGCCTGGGCTCCCATTGGCTCCACCTGACAGGTGACTGTGGCGGTAAAGGGTGGACTCGAGCCCGATGAGAACTAAAGTGAACTAAAGTGTGAACTAAAGAGAACTAAAGTGAACTAAAGAAGCACTTTCTTGTATTTTTCTTTGTTAATTAATCCCAAGATGAAAAGATATGGGAGGAACCTTCAAAGAGGAGGAATTAAAGGCTTGGGGCAGCTCAGTGCTAGAGTGCCTGGCACTGATCTCCGGCCAGGGGTCCCAGGCCCAGCCAGCTCTGCATCAAAAGAGAAAGAAACTGCATTTGGTAACAGTCTACCTGCAAAAGTGTCATAGCCAAGCCCCTGAGCAGGACAAGCTCCTGGCACCTTCCACACTCTCCTTACATACTGCACGGCGATGGACCCAGCTGCGGAGCCACCTGCCGGGCCCCCCGGCTCAGAAGTGGTCCAGCCTGGAGGCAAAGGTTGGACGTCAGGTTTGAACCCAGGTCAGCCCAGCTCCTCTGGCCAGTGAAGGTGACAACCAGTCATGTGTGGAGCCAGGGTTCAGTTGGCTCTACTGGGTTAATCGCCCTGAGCGGCTCACCCTGCCGTGACACAGAGCCATTCCATCACCCAGGAAAATTTCTTCTGGTTCCCTCCCATCAACGCCCTCTACCCCGAGCTGATGCTGACTCCAGGCAGCAGACAGGGCACCCAGCATCAAAAAGGTTCCCCAGGGGGATCGGAGTGCGGTGCTGGCACAGAAACGCCATGCTGAGCACCTTGGCTGCCTGCTGAGGGGCACAGGGCTCTTTCTACTCTATGCACTCAGGAGAGTGCTGCTGTGGGCATTCCTGACAAATGAGTTCAGGTATAAAACCATGGCCTAGGCTCTGCTGGTGGCACACGACTCAGGGCAGGCAGCTTTGCACCTGAGAGCCTTCCTAGCAGGCGTAGAGTCGCACCTTGTGGCAGCCGTGGCTCCTGTTACTCCACCAGCAAGTGTTGCTATGACTGCTTTGTGGGGCCGAGAGGGAGCCCCATGCCTCCTATTCAGGCACCCCCCCACTCGGGAAACTCAGCTGCCCCCCGAGCAGACAAAGGTTGGAGGGATGCCTTCTGCGTTCACGCTGCCGTTCCTGTCAGTGGTACGTATGAGTCTAGCGTGTGCACTCTCACTGCTTGATGTCTTTCTGATGAAAACTTCATTCTTTCACTTCAGTGCAGAGCCGAAAGGTGATCTGAGGTGGGTGCAGAGGTGCACCTTGTAACCCCAGCCTGCTGGGGAGCTGAGGCAGGAGAACTTCAAGTTCAAGCCCAGCCAGGAAACTTAACCACACTAAGATCCTGTCTCAAGGTGAAAATAAAAAGGGCTGGGGCCTATACTCCTGGCACTCAGGAAGCGGAGGCAGGAAAATCACTGCGAGTTCAAAACTAGCATGGGCTTTTCAAAGTGAGCTCAAGGGCTGGGGATTTAGCTCAGTGGCAAAAGTATCTGCCTGGCAACTGCAAGGTCCTGAGTTTGTTTCTCGGTACAAACAAATAAAGAGTGATCTCAAGGCAAGCCTGACCTGCACAGAGACTTTGTCTCAAAAAGACAAGGAAGGAAGGAAGGAAGGAAGGAAGGAAGGGAGGAAAGGCGGGCGGGCTGGGGATGTGGCTCAGCGCCAGTGCCCTGGGTTCCATCCCTGGTACTGGAAGAGCATGCAGCAGCAGCTGGTGCAGCAGGCCGAGCTGTGGGGCCTGCAGGTGGGGAGAGAGTGGTGGGAGGCCAGCAGCCAGGCAGTGTAGTCCTGTGCAGAATGGGGCGCCACCCGTGCGAGCGCCTCACACACAGGCACGGGCTCTGCCGAGCGAAAGGCTGGTCAGCTGCCTCCAGGAGGCCACGCAGACTGACTCACCACCACAAAGGTATTTTTTAGGGGTCTGGGCATCCTCAGGTTCCCCTTCTGGGGAGTCAGCCAACCGCAGAGCAACAACACTCACAGGAAAAACATTCCCACTGACACGTTGTGCAGATGTTTCTCGTGTCATTATTCCCTAAACAGTACAAGTACTTACACAGTGACTGTACTGTACTGAACATTATACTAAGTGACCCAGAGTGATTTAAAGAACAAAGAAAGCCAGGCGTGGTGGTCACACCGATTACACCTCAGCTACTCAGGGGCTGAGGCAGGAGGCCTGCAAGCTTGAGCCCAGCCCAGGCTGCACTTGGCAAAGCCGTCTTAGAATAAAAATAAAAATGGCTGGGTGGCGGCTCAGTGGCAGAGTCCTCATTCAGTCTCCAGTGCCAGCAAAGAGTATACAGGAGGACATGTGTAGCTGAATGCCCTTCCGCCCTCCTTCCCTTTTTCAGCAGCGCTATGGACTGAACCCAGGACCGTCACGCTGAAGCAGGATCTGAGCGAGTCACTGAGTTGCCCAGACCTTGGCCCAATCTGCCCTTTCCCTACCTCGGCCCCCCAGAGCGGCCCAGAGGGCTGCATCGCCACGCCCCACTGAGGGAGCGGTGGTGCAGAAGGGGCACTGGTTCTGCAAGGAGGCACACCTGAGGCCGGGGCTCCCAGGCTGTCACCTGGTGAACGTGTTTATTTACCTGTGAAATGCAGCAGCCTCCTACCTCAGCCTCCAGAGTGCTAGGGCAACAGATGTGTGCTGCCAAGTCCGGCGGGGATGGCTACCTACATTCTTCTGTCCAGACCCTAAAGACGCCGCCCTTTCTCATGCTGAAAGTCATGGCACCGTTTCCTCCCTTGATCTTTCTTTTCCCATTTTTTTTTTTTTTTTTTTTTTGTCTTTTTCAGACAGGGTCTCTGTAGTTCAGGCTGGCCTTGAGCTCACTTTGTAGCCCAGGCTGGTCTCCAACTCTTAATCTTACTGGGAGCAGACACAGCCTCCCTGAAGTCCACACAGCTGCGGCGAAGGCTGGCACCATTGCAGAAAAAGTGCCCTGGGCCTGAGACTCCAATGGAAGCCCGGGCCACTGCAAAGCGTGCTAGAAGCTGTGTGGCAACATCGACATGCTGGGCCCACTCTACAGGGCCTGGGGCTCTCGAGACCAGGTAAAGCCCGGGTACACACTTCAGCGTGGTCCTTCTTGTTCTGAACTGAAGAGCCAAGCCAAAGGCAAGCAGTTTCACTGGCGGCTTCTCTCATGTGTCCCCCCGCCCCCCCCTGCCAGCGTCACTGCATGCTCAGGGGATGTGGCAGGGCCTGCAGCTCTCAGGCCCTCTGTGCCCTTCAGGGTGGAGGAAAGCTGCTTACCTCATGGGTGCCAGAGAGCCCAAGAGGAAGGGGCCAGCGACCAGACACAGTCTCAACACCTTGCCTCAGTGACATGCACCACTGCACAAGGCCCCACTATGTGTCTCATGTCCTCCCAATAATGCCATCGAAGAACAATTACTAATGGACCCACCCGCCGACGAGCTGAGGAGCCCTCCTGGGCTGATCAAGAGCCTACTCAGAAGACCACGCCCCAGGGACCGAACCTCCAACCCCAGGAGCCTTTGCAAAGCCTTCTGGACCCTAACCCTAAACCCTACAAGACGATGTGACAGTCCTTGGGAGAGGACACCAGAGCATAACCCTACAGAATGACAGGGAGGCTGAAGGTTCCCCGCCTCTGCTTGTTTTGTTTTTCTTATTTTAAAAAGTCTTAATTACTTTTTCAGCAATGCAGACATTTCCCCTTTATGATTACTTTCTAAATACCTATTTTAGAACAAAAAGTGGCATTTACTTAGCACTTTATTTATAAAACACCATTCTGCATAAATTACTGTATAAGCCTGTTTAATACCTCAAGGCATAAGCTGACACTGAATATTTCTTCCTTCCTCAGTGTGACCAGATGAATAGAACTCCTAGTGACATCAGCTTGCTGAACAGTCCAAGCCCAACATATTTATGCGCACTGGAGATGCAGTGTCATGAGCATCTTAAATACCCGCTAAAGGAGGCACACTTTCTACCAGCGCCAGGGTGTAACAAACCACTGCAGAATCCCACACACAGCCTTCACCCCTGCATCCAGGAGCCAGCCATCAAATTTCAGCAGCCTCTCGAGCTAATTTTAAAGCATTTGACTTGGGTATTGCACAGAGCACTGTCTCAGCCACTGCTAGCCGCAGGCTCGCTTGGTTGGCATGGTCAGTGATGGGGCTAGACAAAGGAAATGATGTCCAGCTACATGCAGGGTTTGAGTCCACCGTGGTGAGCAGGGTGGGTGTGATGTGCGGCTGCCGAACAAGCCACTCCCTGTCGAGGGGCTCAGCACCGCCAGCCGGGCCCAGCTGCTCCCAGCAGTGCCTGCACCATGGAGGGTGGACACTAAGACAGAAGAGGGCTGGGGACAGAGGGACAGTGCCATTGCTCTCTTCTCCCTCACACACATTCAATGCTTGTCCTACTCAAGCCCATGAAATATTGGTTGTCAATGCCGTTGGGTTTTGCTTTTTTAAGGTAGGTCTTGCTATGTAGTCCAGACTGGCCTTGAACTTGCAGCAATCCCCCTGCCTCAGCCTCTTGAGTGCTGGAATCAAGTGCCCAGCACCATACCCAGCTGGGTTGTCAGTGTATCACATGAGATTTTGTGGGAACACTCACCTGACCCTGGGAGCTGCCTGCCTCAACCTCTGGCTTTAGACAAACTACACCCGAGCTCAAGGTCCACAAGGGCTCACTCAGAGACACTCCAGTGTTACGGGTCAGTGTGCCGCCTCTTGGCCTGTGCACGACTTATTCCCAGATGGCGCTGCACTTAGCCTGGCTGAGCAGGAGCCCAGAGCCAGAGTCAGAAGCTGCCTGTACTGGATGTGGGGCATGGGGTGCTGAGCCAGGCCTGAGCCCCTCGCACTTTCCCATTTGATGGTCATAGGGCTCTGACCTAAGACAGACAGATGGACAGAGGCAGTGCCCCAGCAGTGCTCTTCTGAGCAGTTCCTCACAGCTCTGGACACACTGCGGCCATCTGGGGTCCTGAAAACCCTGCAGACCCTCAGGGCAGAAGGCAACTCCTTACAAAGTAGGAGGTGCATTTAGCCTGGAAAAGCGGCCATGCGGTCTCCCGAAATGCAGCAGCTGCCCTTGTGATCACAGGACCCACCCACCTGGCTGTCACCCCAAAGCAGTGTGGGCAGCCAGTCCCCACGCCCAAGGGACCTACCTAACTGTGAGAGGTCCAGCTTTGTCCAGTGCATGCCGGTCGGGCAGCTCTTGGACAGCGTGCGGATGAACACCTGCCCAAGGCTGTCCAGGGCCCACAGTGCGTCCTGGCAGGCGGCGTAGGCACACATCTCGGCGTCGGGCGGCAGCTGCACCGTGGACGGCCGGCAGTGCACGCTCTGGGCGCTGATGCTACACAGGTCCTTGCTGCTCTGACACAGCCACAAGGAGCTTCCTGCAGAAACGTACATGTGAGGCGCGGTGCACTTCCCCATCGCCTGGAGCGGCTTGTGTCTTCAAGCAGACGAACACCTGATGGCCACAGCTGGCCACAGCTGCCACCTACCGCTTGCCTGTCCCCACATGGTGTTCCTCGGCCTGCCAGTGAGCAAGACTGAGCCGAGGCGGGTGGAAGAAAGGGCAGGAGGGCGTGGAGATGGAGTGGAGGCCAGGGCGTTGGCTTGGTGCCACCTCAGCCTTAGGAGTCTGAAAGATGCTGGGGCAGTTCATATGGACATAGACTTCACTGGGGCCAGGACTGCTAAGCTGTCCCCAAAGCCGATCCTCGAGGTCACAGGCACAACCCACTGGCTGGCCCCAAGGCTTCTTGTCCTTACCTCAACGTCCCAGCTCCCCGGCCCCTCACCACTGCAGCAGAACCCCCAGAGTTAGAAGAGTCTATTAATGCTGCAAATAATCCAAGACATTACCTAAAACTTGTGGGGGCTGGGGATGGAGCTCAGCGGTACAGTGCCTGCCTGGCAAGCACAAGGTCCTGAGTTCGAGTCCCAGTCCCAAAAACAAACAAACCCAAAACAAACTTGTGGCCAGATATATTTTTTTTTCCAGAAACTTTAGTAAGCTGAACCCTCAGGATAGGGCTGCAACCTGCCACCTGAGACTCCCCACAGCGCTCTGGCCACCAGCACCACAGCACAGGTGTAGACAGAAAGTGGCCTCCTGTCACTGTGAGGCAGGTGTCACTGCCAAAGGGACCCGGTCAATCTCAGGAGACAACCAAGCCCAGAGGTTTCTGGCAGAGGTGTGGTCAGGAAGAGCTGGTGTGAAGCATGTACAGAACCGAATGCTGAGACCGTGGCTGCACTAAGCAGGCAGCTTCCTGCCAGCGTCCTGCTAACCTGCACCGGCCGGGCCACCTTACTTCTCACATCCCAGCCAACACGGTGGCCTCCCTCCCTCTCCTGACTGCCAAACTCTGTGTCCTGAGGGGCTGTAGGCTCTGCACAGGGCACAGGGGGGACTTGGGTGATCCAGAGGCTGAGATTTCCCTGGGGCAGATGGGAGCACACCAAGCACCTATGGCCCCTGCCATTGTACTGGAGGTCACCAATGGCTCCATAGTCCCTTGCTTCAGGACATCCTGCCTGAGACACAGCACCACCACCCCCGCTCCCACCTATCCACTGCCACGGCTCAGCCTGCGGCACACCTGGCTAGGACACAACACCATGTCCCCTCAACACAGGCTGCACTGCAGGCCCCGTCACCCACCAGCCACACGAAGAGCACAGTTTACACACTGAGCTCCGCCCAGAGGGTGTGGACTAACCTTCCTTGGTGGGAGCCGCAGATGCCAGCACGAAGGCCCATTTCGTCGAGGATGCTGTGCCCCGGGGAACCACGTTATTCCAGTAGGTGCCTGGAAAGGGTGAAGAGCCGTGGGAAGGAATGAAAATGTAGAGCCACTTGGGAGTTCACCTCTGGACTACAGCTGGCCTGGGGCCTCTCACAGCCCGCCCAGAGCCCCTCGGCCAGCACTGTGAGCTAGCCCAGTCATGGGTGCCACGGCAGAGGCCGCGCAGGGCAGGAGGCAGCAGCGGAGAACTCAGGAACCCGCGTTCCCTCACAGGAACAAACTTCAGGGGCCAGGGATTTAGCCCAGTGGTGCAGTGCCTGCCTGGCAAGCGTGCGGTCCTGAGTTTCATTCCTGGTACCCTTCACCCCCCCACCAAAAATCCCAGAAAAACACACCCCAGCTCATCCTCGGGCCTGGCCAGGCCTTGCCTGCACTACAGAGGCTGTGATCACCCCTCCAGGCTCTGTGGGTTGCTACAGTTTTCACCTATAGGTGAAATCATTACTAATAAGCTGCATTTGCCTTTTTTCCACCATAACCAGGGTCCACAGCTGGGCCTGAGCCTCGAGTGGTGGGTGAGAAAGGAAAGGATAATGGGTCCCCCAGGTGCTTTGACCCCGCCAAAGCCCCCTGGTCTTTTCAGGCCAAGACCACAAAAGTGCTCCTTTAATGCTGCATGAGGTCCTTCGTTTGACCCTAAACACTGCAAAAACTAAAACATGACAGTGAACTGGAGATGTCCACAAAGCCTTTGCCCACCTATGAGGCTTCCCTTGGCAACGTGGAACTCATTCTTGCCCGAGGAGATCCAGACGCCGCTGCTGTTGACCCCCAGCAGGCTGGGCTGGCACTGAAGCTGCTGGGACCAGAACGCCATGCGCAGTTTGTCTGCCACCTTCTCCACGGGCACTTGGGCCGCTGTGGCCACTGAGTGTGTGGCGTGGATGATGGTCTGGAATAAGCTGCACTGGTCGAACACCACGTAGTCTGTGATGCTCACCTGCAGGGAGTGGATGCGGGGAGACAGACGGTCAGCACAGTGGAGATGGTACTGCCACAACGACAGCCTTCGATGGGTGCTGATGAGGCGGCAGAATGACAGTTTTTGCGCACCTGCCACACTGGCCTCGAGATTGGGGAGCCTGCAGGACATGCCATGGCCAGCACCAGCATATCCAGGTCCTGTTCTGCCTACACACTTTATGCTGTGAGGTCCACTACAATAAGTATGTATAATTTCTGTAACTAAATAGCCCCCACAATATCTTCTGAGAAACCTTTTATTTTGACCTTTTTTCATGGTGGCCTTGAATGCACTATGTAGCCCAAGCTGGCCTTTTATTCACATGATCCTCCTGCCTCAGCCTCCTGGGTGCTGGGATTACAGGCATGTACCACTGTGCCCAGCTTAAGGCCTTTTAAGCATAGGAGACGGGGAAACTTTACGTGTGGGCTGGAGCGGAAAACCTAGTCTGTCTAGTCAGCATGCTGTCCAGAAGGAAACAGCACTACTGCCCAGGTCTTTTTTTTTTTTTTACTTTTTATTTTAAAGGGGGTAAAATTAAACAAAACAAAACAGAACAAAATAGGACATAAAAAAGCAATTTAAGAGATATAAATTTCAAAGCTAGATGACCTGAGAGAGATCTTCACTATCTATCATATTGTCTCTTGTTTTCTTCCAAATAGTTGTCCAAGTCTTCACATACAGAGAATTCATACAAAACAACACAGAATAAAACTGATCCAAACAGAATAAGGAAGGTGATTTAGGTCTTCAAAACCAGACAACAGGGAAGTCACTAATGGCTATTTTAGAGTCTCTTGTTCTCTTCAAAATAGCTGTCCATACTTTCATATATATTGAAGTTCAACAAAACAAAACAGGCAGTGGGGAAAGGATTGCTTGGTTTCCCGGAGCTCCAGGTCCCGGCATGGCACGGGTCCCAGTAAACGCAGGTGACTCCCATCCTGGGCCACCACAGCCTGCCATGCTCACAGCCCCTCACGGTGGGGGAGGGGGGTTGCTTCAAGCTGTTTCTTTCTAATGAATTGACCATTTCACTGCCCAAGTTCTGAAATGGCCAACAGATCATAGAAAGACATCTCTTTAGGCTCCTGCTTGAAACCAACAGCGTCAGGAAGCTGCTGGCCTTGATTCAGGGCCAGAGCCCAGGTCTTCAAAGTGACGGCACGGGGTTTATCCAGCCTGCGAACAATCATGGCCAAATACCACCAGGGGAAACACGAAGTCAGTCTGCACAATTTAAGCAAAGAAATCTTCCCAAGTTTTTTCCCACGAAAAGTCCTTCGTGTTTCCAATGGTGCAAACTCCAAGTCTAGCCCACACATAGTTACCATGAGCACTGCTGAGTACACCCAGCCTCTGAGGGAGACGGGCAGACAGGAGGACAGTGGCCCAGCCGTGGAGCCCGGCACTACCTGCCACCAGTGATCGTCGTCCCCTTGGGGCTTCTTGGGCACCACACCGGTTCTGAACCACAGCTTCCCACGGATGTCCAGCGCCCAGAGAGTGTGCTGGTCTCCGAGAGTGATGCAGATGGGCTCCAGAGCCTGCTTTTCGCTGGAAAAAGCAGGAGAGCATGGAGTCAGCCCCACATCACTGGCCAGAGGAAAAGCACTTGTAACTCAGGACCAGGACAGCAAATGCCAAGGAGGTGGCGTGGCCTCCCCCACCCTGCTGGACAGTGTGAGTGACCCAGGTGTGTGAAAGACACAGTGAAGACCAGGGACGGTGGGGACGGCTACCAACACAGGAGGAGGTGCTCACAGCGCCCATCGCTCCACTACCCCTTCCCCAAGGGGTGGGGAACTCCCTGTGAACCAGAGGTTCCCACAGGTGCTGCCTCTCTGCCTATCGGCCCTGCTCCTGCCCTGTCTTGGTGTCCCAGAGCTTCAAGGCTCCATGTGGTGCCTTGGGCAGGCACAACCTACCCAAACCGCGTCTTGCCCAGGACCCCCTGCACCTGCCATGCTGCCAGCTAGGAGGCGCCCCACCAGTCCTGCAGTTTGAGCTGGGCTGAGTCTCAGCCATCCTGACGCCCAAGTCCAGAGGATCCTAGCTCACAGAGGGTTACCCTGGAGTCCCCTGGCTGCTACATTCCAACCAAGATCAAGATCAGCCTGATCTGACTTTTCTAAGAACTTTTTTTTTAGTACTAGGATTGAATCCAGGGCCTTCACATTGAGCTGCATTCCCAGCCTTTAGTTTGTTACAGGATCTCACCAAGTTGCCAAGGCTGGGCTTGAATTCACGATCTTCCTGCCTTGACTTCTCAGAGTGCTGACATGCGCCACTGCATCTGGCTAAGGACTAAATCTTAAATGGTAAAAGTAAACTTAAAAATTATCCTTCAGACACCAATTTCAACTGAGTAGGATGAACACACAAAAAAGTATTTGGATCCAACCTGCTGTACTCTTGATAGAAACTAAGTAACAACCACAGCTCTGGGCAGAGACTACAGTGCTGGGGCCCTGACGTACAGGCAGCTGGCAGAGGTGGCCACATGTCTCCAAGTCCAGGCTACAGAAGTCAGCTGGGTCACTTGGGAGCTCTCATCCCGTGGGAGCTCCAGGAGCTGCCTGGCCCTTGAACTTGAGTAGGGCCTGGAGAAGTCAAGGGGAGCTGCCGGTAGGTGGTGACAGACAGGACCTGGGTACCTGGTAATGTCACACTTCCACTGCTCGCCCTCGGGGCAGAAGCTGCTCACACCCTCTCGGTACAGCAGGGCCCTCTGCTCCGTCAGTGCCCACACCACGCAGTTCCGGGCGGCGATCTGCGACAGCGGGTAGGGACAGTCGACCTTCACAGCACGGGCACAGGGGCGGTCCACACTGAGGCCTGCAGTGAGGGAGGAGCCTGAGACCAGCAGCTCTTCTCCCACTCTGACACCTGAGTCTGTGGCTGTACGCATGTGAGCGTGTGCATGTGTGTGTGTGTATCTGTGCGTAATTTGTTATGTTCTTTCTCAACGAGTGCCTTTTCTTTTTAAGGCTCAGTCAGCATTCAAAGGTTAAATCCTGCTTCCCCACAGTGCCGGTGTGAGGCATGTTCATACAGTCTGGGCCCAAGGAACAAAGTGCAGATCCTCTGGTGTCCTGGGAGTTCAGAGGCTCCAAGAGCAGAGGAGGAAGCCAGGGCAGGAGCCCTGCAGCCCAGCAAGGCTCGAGGAACCACTTTCTGCCAGGAAGGCTGCCTGCTGGGCCCAGTGCACACAGGGACCCCCAGGATCGGGTTCCACTGTGAGTGCAAATCCCTGGTTTCCTATCCTCACTGCAAGGCTGCAGCACAGCCAGAACTCAGCACCCTACCCCTGTCCAGGGCTCCTTTCCTGTCCCTTGGCCTATGACTAATGTGTCCCAAAGCCACTTACAAGGCAGAAGAGCTGGTGGCTAAACCCTGCAGTTAGGCCTTGGAACTAAGAATCACAAAGGCAGCCAGGCAACCTCAGCTAATGGGAGTTGCCAGCAGGACCCCGCCCCCCAAGAACTGGGGCCTGAGTCTGGGGCCTCTGCACTACACTACCTCTCAGCTTTACTGTAATTTATCTTGCTGACTGCTAAGGATGGACTCAAACCTGCAATCCTCCTGCCTCAGGCTCCCAAGCTGGGGGTACAGGTGTGGCCTTATCTGCAGGCCTTCTTACTACATAATTCTGGGTCCAGACTCTCAACAGGACTAGGAGCGCCTGGCTCATGGGAAACCATGTTGCTGGGAGGTGGCTGCCCCTCACCCCTGGCCAACAGCGCCCTGTCCCACATGAAGGGAGGTCAACATCCTGAGTGCTGCAGGCACAGTGCCTGGCAGAGCTCTCTTCACTGAAGAAGAGACAGGATCCCAGGAGGACTCTGGAGTCTGGACGAGCACTTGGCCCACCAGGCAGCCAGGCTGCCCCCGCAGTGCAGGGCTGCAGGCCAGGGAGGGTAGAGGAGCAGGGCTGCTCAATCTCCAGAACCAGGCTGCTGGCGACCACCATGGAGCTTTCCCAGCACTCTCGGAATCACCAATGCTGACAGGTGAAGGGGAGCTACACGTATACCCAGGGGCCGGGCAGCCCAGGCAGGACTCCTGTCCCGTTCTGCCCGAGCTAGCAAGCTGCTTCCCACTGAGCTGATGCACCAAGCTCGGACTCTCACTGTGGCTTGTTTTTTTTAATAAACTGGTCCCACCATGCCACTTCTAGCAGCTAAAGGGTACCGTAAGGAAGTTTCGCAGGACAGGTGAACTGCTTTTTAGAGCAAACTGGTTCTGTTTTTCCGCCCTGTGTGTGCACAGAAGGTGTACTTTGAGCTGGCTAGAGAGTCCAGTCCCCTGGGGCTGGAGATTTAGGTCAGCGGCATAAGCGCCTGCCTTGCAAGCAGGCAGTCGTGAGTTCAATCCCCCGTACTGATAAAAAGGAAAAAAAAAAAAAAAAAAAAAAAAAAAGAGAGAGTCCAGTCCCTTAGACTCTGGGGAAAGGACTCCACTGGCCTTTCTGTCATCTTTTCCTCCTAGTGCTGGACCCTGCAGGGTGCGAGAGCCACACTCAGCCACAAGAATGGGAAGGGGCTGCTCTGTACTCTACTACAAAGCCCATGGGAGTCTTGCCCTGAAGTCTCCAGGCCAAGTCTGCTCAGCAGAGAGTGCTGCAAACACATTTCCGCCATGGCTTCCCTGAAACCCACCAGAGCCTCTGAGGTGAGCGTCCTCTGACGCTCACCTGTCCCTCACCTGTCTGCAGGTACAGGTCCCCGTTGGTCCTGATGATCCAGGCTGTGTCATCGCTCAGGGCCACAAACACGGCCTGGGGCAGTGCTTCATACCAGTGCCGTTTGCCCTTGATGGTGACCTTCCCACAGGCAAAGGCGCGGTTGGATTTCTGTTCAATCTTCCAGAGAAGGGCTCCTGGGGACACAGAGGCCCACTCACTGCCAGTGAACACTTGGGTCGCCTGCAAAGACCTGTATCCTGGCTCTGTTGGGCCAAGTGGGGCGTGGTGGCACACTCCTGTAATCCCAGCACTGGGAGGCTGAGGCAGGAGGCCTTCCAAGTCCAAGACCAGCCTGGGCTAATCGGGCCAGAGGTCTGAGCCTCTGCCATCTTCCACCAGCTGTCTGGCTTTGGTGCCTTGCTCCTCAACATCTTCAGCCTTCCCGTCATACTTTACGGGGACAGAGCCTGGTCACTTGGGCTCCAGGGAAAGGGCTCTGCTGGCCTTTCTGTCCTCTCTTCCCAGTGCTGGACCCTGCAGGGTGCACAGCAGCCGAGGTCCACGGAAGTGCACAGCACTAGGGGCTGCCACGTCGCTCGCCCTCACCCAGGGGCCCAAAATAGCAATGATAGGAGAGGGCTGTGGTTCTGAGACAGGGCCTGGCTGAACTCAGTGTGTAGCCGAAGCTGGCCTCAAACTCTAAACAATCCTCCTGCCTCAACTTCCTGAGTGCTGAGATTACAGGCATGGGCCACCACGCCTGGCTACAAGTAAGGGTCTATGTAGACAAGCTGAGGTGCCACAGAGTGGATGAAGTTCTCTAAGGCACCAAAAGGAAGGACTAAGTCTAGACCAGCTAAAGGGAGGGCTGCACACAAAGGACACATTGGGCGTTTTTCACCCAGAAAGGGATCCTGACCCACAGAGGAAGGCAGACGGAGGACAGAGCAGGGGGTGGGTGTGGCCGGGCCACTGTGGGAGGGTGAAACGGCACCTGGACGACCCAAAGCGAGGGCACTGCCAAGTGCCATGTGGCACAGGGCCCTGGGGCCCTGGGAGCCTGGGACCTGCAGGACATATCAACTGAGGATGTGATGTCTGTCAGGTGGAGGCCTCCCACCCAGAGCAACCAAGGAAGAACACAGGACACCTACGACCAGGGCGAACCAGCATTTCTAAATGCCGGGAGAGAAGCCCACAGGTAACAATGCAAACAGGAACAGCTAAGATGCTCAGTCCTGTGATGCTAGCAATGGGCAGACTGTCACCTCAGCCAGCTCCAAGGAAAACATTCCCAAGCAACCTGTGAAAGAAAGCGAGCAAAACAGTGCAGGACAGGGGCTGGGATTTAGCTCAGTGGCATAAGCGCCTGCCTTGCAAGTGTGCGGTCGTGAGTTCAATACCTGGTACCGATAAAAAAGAAAAAGACCAAAAATAAAAAACACTAGTTTTAAAAATGTTGGCGAAGAGGAAGGCAAGTTAAGGGCTGTTCACAGGGACATGAGAAAGGACAGGGCCGAGAGCAGATTCAGCCTCTGTCACATCTGTCCTCATGGCCTGACACGCACGGACACACACTTCGGGTCCACCTGCCCTGCCACACGGGAACAGCAAAAGCGGCCAACACTGGGGAAAAGCGCGCTGTGAGTGGCAGCGCACACCTGTGATCCTGGGACTTCATCAGGCTGAGGCAGGAGGGTCAAAAGTCTGCATCCTACTTGGGGAACTTAAAGGGACCCTGTCTCAAAGTAAGACAGGTCTGAGGATGTAGCTTGGTGGTTTGATCACCAGGACTATTAAAAACAAAAAGAGAATGGAAGGGAGGAAGGGAAAAAGGGATGGAGAAAAGGAAGAGAGGAAGGAAAACAAAAGAAAGCAAACAAGCAGATGCAAATCGAGATGGAAAGGGACAGAAAGGCAAGAATTTCAGGAAGCCTCGCTGACTTCCTAAGACGCTCAATAACGGGTGCAGGCGGGGTATCCCCCCACAGCCCAGTGCAGGTCAATTGCCCACAGTGCACAGATCGGTGGAGACTTTCCAGAAAGGAAGCCAAGCTACAGGAATGCACTCCATGTGGCCCCAGGCCTGACCTAAATTCAGTGGCCTCATAGACAATGGCACTTTTTCTAGAAAAAGACTGCATGTCATTGAGATCACTAAGAACCCTCAAGATTCAAACTATTCACACAGTGTACAAAAGTATCTTCACACATTGTCACAATTAAAACCCCAAACCCTAACTCAACAGCCTCCATGCCATCAACTGATGTGGAAAGACATGATACCAACCTCCAGACCTGGTCCCTGGAGCCCACCAAGGTCGATCCCAGCTTCTAGACCTGGTCCCCAGAGCCCACTGAGGTTGATCCCAGCCTCCAGACCCGGTCCCGGAGCCCACCAAGGAGGCCAACCTGAGGGAGACACTGCCACCTGCTGGACGGCATCTTCAAACTTCTGCCAGCGGAGCCTGGCGCCCGGCAGCGCGCTGCAGAACAGGCCGCCCTTATAGTCCAGGCACCAGATGTACTTCTCGGAGACCACCAGGCTGAGGATACCGTAGCCGGGGCCGGAGTAGCCCATCCAGCTCTCTGCAAACTGACAAGGACACTAGTGTGAGACCAACTCGGGGAAAGGGCTGCGCACATCACACGGCTGTCAGCGAGAGCGAGCAGCGTCGGAAGCACGTACGCTCTGACAGGTTTCCTGAGCAGCACTCAGCCCACACAGACAAGGACTCGGCCTTCCTCACCCTGGCTCACGGGCCCTGCGTGCAAGCTTGGCTTCCCCAGGCCTCGGTGCACAATGACAAGACCCACTCGGCTGCCTCCAGCACTGGACACCCCGGCACTCGGGAAGCACTGGGGGAAGGAACCATGTGGGCTGGAAGCCCAATATGTCCCCCCAAAAATAACACCAGCTTGAGCTTCTGGGCCTGTGCTGCCCTTCACTTGCCACAGGGCTCTGGACTCGCTGACCCTCCCTGAGCCTTTCCTCCCCAGTCAGTGGTGAAAGAGACGTGCAGAGCACATCCTGCATGTGGCAGGCACCAACAAGCATCGTGCTGTCCACACAGAGACCCTGTGGCCGGGTGAGGAAAGTGAAGAGCCATGGGCCGCGTCCTGTGTCCATGGTCAGCAGGAAATGTCATACAGCAGAGTCAGCTTTGAAACCAAATGCATTTCATTGTAATGACGTACCAAGGAGAGTAAGCACCTTTAAAGGATTATTTCTTTATATAAAATGCCTCTGCACAGCCAATAGACCCCTCCTTGTTCCATGGGCTGGGCAGCCACCCGCAGGTCATGGAGGGAACAGCAGCTCTGTCACAGCCTCAGGTCCTGGGTGGCTCCTTGAGGGCCCTGTGTATGGGCAGGAAGGGACACTCATCTCTGTCCACTACACCGGCTGCTCTGCCAGGGCTCTGCAATGGCCCGGCTGACTGCACACAAGCCTGGCTTTGCTGGTCCAGAACAAAGGGCCAGGAGCTGCTTTCACCACAGCAGGTCAGTGCAAGGCCTCCAAAGTAGCTCACGAGCCTGTGCTGCAAATTCTCCCAAACCAAGACTTTAAAACATATTTGGCTTCAGGTTTTGCAGCAGGATTATAAACGCTCTCCATGAGAAGGAAAACAGTTGGTCTTGACAAGAAGTCTTTAAGAAAAAAGGCAGTCTGCTAAGTAAAAGGGCAAGCCTACAATTTCAGCACAACTCAGGAGGCTGAGGCAGGAGAGTCACAACTTTTAGCCCTGTCTTGGCAACTAAGCAAGACCGTCTCAAAATAAATAAAAAGACCTGGAGATGTACTCAATGATTCAGTACTCCTGGGTTCAACCCCAACTACTGCCAAAGAAAAAAAGAAAGAAAGAATGAACAGACGGGACAGCAATCAGTGACTGTTCGTTAGTGACCCTGTCTAGCCACCCACACCACACACCTGATCCGACTTGAGCAGGGCAGGGTCGTCCGTGCCTGGCTGGCTCAGGTCCTGCAGGGAGTGCCCGGCTCTGAGCTCTGTGACACTCGTCTCTGAGGATGATGATGGCAGCCCGTGGGCGTAGATGTCCTCCTCATCACTGGACGTCAGCCCTGGGTCCTGGGAAGGTGGCTCGAGCCGGGGCCTCTGGGTGCCAGCCACTGAGGCGGTCATGAGAAGGGCCACTTGTCTCCCCTCACTCTCCCTGTCACCTTCAGATGGGGGCATCTCCTTTTGCCCTGTGTCATGGTCAGTGACAGCAGCCCAAAGGTCCACAGTGAGGTGCCCAGAGCCATCCTGCTCCTTGCTGGCTGGCTCAGCCATGACCTTGGGAGGCCACCACACTGCCCTTGAGGCCCTGCTGAGACTGGGAGGCCCCTCGAGTGAGTCCAGGAGCAAGGGTTCTGGAAAGGGGCTCTCAGGGCTCTCAGCCTCTGCATCCTCCCCCTCAGGGGCCTTGGCAGAGCTGTCCTGGCTTGGGCAGGGCACCCATCTGTGGTAGATATCAGCCTTCACAGGACTGAGCTGCTCTTCGTGTCCTCCGTCATTGTCACCCTCCAGGCTTTCCCTCGGGAGTAAGGGCAGCGTCAACGCCCTGGGGAGCAGCTCCAGCTCCCCTTCAAGGTGACACTGAGGAACTTCAGGGACAGCGTCAGCCTCCTCATTCAGTGCGTTGGGGGCAGATCCAGGTGCCTCCAGGATGCTGAATGTTTCTGGGTCATGATTTTCTAGCAAGACGTCGCTCACCTCGCTGCCCCCGAGGCTGCTCTCGCCGTCAGGTGACTCTATGCTCAGCTGGTCCACACTGCTGCCCAGGATGCTTGAGGCCACGGACAGCCGCTCTGTGCTCAGGGACCGGGGGCTGCCGCCGGGGAACTCGGAGCAGGGTGTTGGCTCCAGGGAGCTGGCACATGAGTGACCACCTCCTCCGGCTTCTAATTGAAAATGAGAACACTCAGGAGACAATGCAACTGTAAGAGGCGACTTGGAAACAAACTTTGTCCTGAGAGAAACACTTCAAATGGAAGAATAAACCTCAAGTAGAACAGCCCTGATGCAGGGATGTTATGTAAGATACAAACACCATACACCGAGGGGGCCCACCAAGAAGTTTTCAGGAAGAGGGGACAGCAGGCAGGGGGTTTAGCTAAGCGCTGTAAGCGCCTGCTTAGCAAACTAGAGGTTATGAGTTCAATCTCAGGCACACAAAAAAAGAGGGGGACAGCAAAGTGGGGTGCTTGACTAATCACAGACCAATCTTTCCATACCATTTGAACGCTAAGGAATCTGGTCACGAGTCCCTTTAATCCTGCAGTGACCTTCAGCCAGAGAGGCATAATGGGCACGACGAAATTCTGAGTTTGAAACGCTCCATGTTAAATCCCCGTCTGGCAAGAGGGGCCACTATGCACCAGCACAGGTGCCCCCACCACCACTGGGCCAAGCCCCACCTGGTCTGCAGCCCCCAGAGGCCAACATTTTAACTTAAATACTGAAAAGAACTAAACCAGGTTCTCTCAGCAGGGTGCATTGCCAGAGACTCGAGGGTCACCTGCACTCTCTAGAGATGCCATGTGCACGTTTGCGTTAGCTCACATGTTCCCTGCTAGTGTGTGCAGCATGACCCAGGGTCTTCTCCAGGGAGCAGCTGTTCCTTTTTGGAGACTGTCCCTCCCACCCCCAGTATGCAGACATGTGTGCCTCGAGGCACAGACTCACCTGTTCTTTTCTTCTTTTTCCTTCTCACCCTGATGGGCTTCACGATCAGCTCCTGCTCGAAGTCCTCCACACTGATGGCCCTGAATCTCTGCGAGGTGGGCTGGCTGGCCTGGCTGAGCTCCACAGTGCTTGGGGGCGCAGGTGGCAGCAGGTTAGAGCTGCTGTCGGTGGAGGTGAGTGAGCTGCTCCGGCTCCGGGGCTCACTGGCTGCCGAGCTGGCCACCGAAGACCCTCTGAGCCTGGTCTCTGTGGTGCTGGCCCCCAGGGGCTTCTCCGGACACTCCCCAGGGATGTGTTCGGGACCTCGTGCCAGCTCCAGACTGTCTCTTGCTGAGAGAGAAGAGCTTGGTGAACACTGCTGCCCAAGGGGCTTGGCTAACCTTCGGAGCAGCTGGCAGAGGGGGAGCCTGGCCTCCATCCCACAAAGAACTGGACAACTCTACGTCCACAGGCACCCAGGAGACAGAATCACAGATGGTGGCATGGGTTCTGACTGAAGGAGCTCTGGTACCAGACTCAGGACAGTAAATCACTGTTTTTTGTTTTGTTTTTTTGTCTTTTTCCTTTTTATCGGTACCAGGGATGGAACTCACAACTGCCTGCTTGCAAGGCAGGTGCTTATGCCGCTGAGCTAAATCCTCAGCCCCAGTAATTCACTATTGCTGCCTGATTGGCAGCAAGGAAATGCCACTAAGTGTACAATGTTATCACTTCAACTCACAAGTCATTTTTTTGTCTTGAGACAGGGTCTCACTATACATTTCAGGCTGGGCTTCAGCTCATTTTGTAGCCCCAGTTGGTCTCGAACTCACAAAGATCCTCCTGCCTCAGCTTCAAGTGCTAGGATTATAGGCAGCACCACTACATCTGGCTGACTCACAAATTGTTAGTTAAAGAACTCTGCTCTACTTAGTTGTAGCTCATTCTTCAACTACATCCTGAATATACCTTAATTTGACTCAAATGGCATTTGAAAAACATATGTGTACTGATAACCAAGCTTCCTGAAATTCAAGGCGGGATAAGGGTTTTCTGCTGGGGTGGACTGCAGGAGAGGAAGCAGATGCAGGAGGTCAGCATCAGCACAAGCACAGAGCACAGCCAGGGCAGCGGAACCCAGGTCCCCACACCTGTCCCTGAGGGCCTGAAAGCTGGCCAGTGTCTCGCTGAGGGGATGTATCCCTGTAAGCTGACACACAAAGGCTGCCAGAGCCTGAACAGCTCCAGACCCAGCCCCCTGCACTCAAACTACAGGACACACTCGTCACCAGGCTTCCTTGGTACCCAGCATCACCAGGGGCCAGAACACAGATGTCAGGCAGGCGCAGGGACCTGGACTCATGGTGCCAATGTGTGCCAGGCACAAGGGCAGGGGCTGCTAGAGGTGACTCGCCTGGAGCCACGCTGTCCAAGATGGCAGCCACCAGCCACCTGCAGCCATTTGCATTCAGATGAAGTACAGGTCAAACTGTACTTGCTCAGCAGCAGCCTTCCCAGGAGGGTGACAGCCTGCCAGACCATGCAGACTCAGAGCGCTGGGCAGCAGTGACCCGGAGGCTCCCCAGCACTCAAACGTGGGACTGTGGAAATGACTAACAGATATACCTGCTTGTTTAATTAAGCAAAGCTGCTACTGCTTAGCCAGCAAAATCCCAGCAAGTCTAACCACAACCTGGAGAGTGCCACCTTGCCATACACAGCACGGTGTGTAACCAGTACAAACCTATTGGCCCTAGTCCTTCAGGCCTGCTCGAAATTCTGATGATGTTCCTGTCTCCCTTCAAGAAAAATATTTCATTTTCTGTGCAGGAAACAGACACAATATCACCGGATCCTTCCAAACCAGCAATGGTGGCCTGTCAAAAGAGATACACCAAAATTTCAAAACCAGGTACCAGTAACAGTTCAGAGCACAAAAAAGCACATGTAAGAATCTAAGCCAGTCAAGTGACACCTGCACTTTGCTATGATAACATTCTGAAAAATACTTTTTTTTTTAAGGTGGTGGGAATTGAACCCAAGAGAGCTTGACCACTGAGCCTGAGCCTGAGCCCCAGCCCCAGCCCTTCCCATTTATTTATTCTGAGGCAGAGTCTTACTAGATTGCCAGGCTGGACCATGACTTGTGACTGCTACTGTTTCAGCCTCCTGGGCTGGCAAGATTAGAGGTGTATACCACTAAATCCAGCTCTGAAGGTTGGGGTTTTGAGGGTTTTTTTGTTTTCTTGGGGAGACACTGGGAATCAAACTCAGGGCCTTGTGCTTGCCAGGCAGGTGCTGTGCACTGACCTACGTCCCCAGCCCTGATTTTTTTTTTTTTTTTTTTCAGTATTTGTGGTACAGTGGATTGAACTTGGGGTCTCCGCAGACTCACACCCTCGACCTTTTTGTTTTGTTTTGGAGACAGGGTCTCGCCAAGATGCCCAGGATGGGCTGAAACTTGCCATCTAGCCTAAGTGTCACCCAGTGCTGGCCTGTACCACCACACCCAGCTGAAAATTCTGAAGAGTAACTCAACCCAAGTCAGGTGCTATCTGACAGGTGCTCATTGAGCAGTAGGGTGACAGGCCCAGGCAAGTGGAGCCTCTCTCCAGACCTCGGCCGCCCGGCTCCCCACTCCTGTGACCCAGATCTCATCCTCATTGGCAAGGGACCTCTGCCATCGGTGGCTGCCAGTCCTCTGCCTGCCACCTGCCTAGGCAAATCTCTGGCTTGTGCCAGTCCATGCGCCAGCCCTGCTCTTCCACAGCCCGGGGGGCCAGCACAAGCTTTTCTCTCTGCTCAGACCCTGTTCCAGTCCCTGTCACTGGAGGACTTCCACCTCTGCAGGCAGTGATTTTGCACAGTTGTTGCTTCTTGGCCAATAGTGCAGGCAAGAAACGGGTTTGCTGTGTGAAATCAAGGGGCCTGTGCTCCCTGCTGATTTTTAGGTGGCCGCGCAGGCGGCTGAAGCAGGCCGCTGGCTTCCGAGAGCTGGGGAGGCACAGACCTGCTCCTGGCTGTGCTGCCTGCTGGCCCCTGCCTGGGAACAGGGCTAATTATACCTCTGGGCAGGTGAGAAGTGCTGATGTTCAGTCACAGACTATGCTGACGCCACTAATTAGTGAGCTCCAAAGGAGCCCTAGGGAAGAAGAAAAGTCACCATCACTGGGAAAGGGAGCACCAACTGCCCCTGAAACAGTCTCATGGAGGATTGAACACAGCTTCCGGGTGGTCCCCCAACCAACACCACCACTCCACTTCTCTGGCCGGCCCGTGGGGCAAGAGGTTCGAGGCTCAGTTTCCTTTTCTCCTGAGCCAGTATCACCAGGCCAGCTGGCGACCTTGTTTACAGGGCCCCCCGGGGAGTGGATGGAGTTTGCTTTCTGCTGACAGCATCCAGCGAGAAAACTGCGGCCTCCTCCAGCAGGGCTCTGCTGAGTCCTGCCAGGCGCTCATGGCGGAGGAGTCTGGGCAACAGCCGGTAGGGTGAAGCTGGCACAAGCTTCACTCTTAGGACAAGCAGAAACTGAAGGCCGGGTCGGGCTGGGCAGCACATGCCTGTAATCCCGCCATTTGGGAGGCAGAGGCAAGAGGATTGCTGTGAGATTGAGGCCAGTCTAGGCTACATAGCACAAGGCCAGCCTGAACTGCACACAGAGGCCCTGGCTCAAAACAGACAAAAAAAGAAAGAAAGAAAGAAACTGAAAAGAACTGCTTTGTTTAAAGTCGTACACTGCTTATTGTTTCTACCTGACCCTTTACCATCTTGATTCAAGCAGAAATTGCTTCCTATCATGATTTAATAATGTTGGGAAGTTACCCCTGATACGTCCTTAAGTTAACAAGTGGAACAGACCCTGACAGGATAACATGACTTCCTCTGGGTGAGACCAAGGTAAAGGAGAGCGCAGGTGGAGGGAGAGGCCGCTGCGCTGCCCAGGTGGGACAGCTGTGCTGAACGCTCACTGATGATCACATCCCAGGGGCCCGGCTATGGCTGGTGATGGAAATTGTGCTCCATGAGGCCCTGGGTTCCATTCCCGGTGCTGGGAAGAAAGAGGGAAGAACACGGCCCAGACAGCCGAGGAGGAGCAGCACTGACGTACACAACACACTTTATCTCTGGGCAGGGTAAAGGCGACTGGGTTTCAAAAGCAAATTATCTTTTGAAATCTACAAAAACCACAAACAAATGCTCCTTTCATTCCCTGGAGCAGCTGGAGGGTGCGGGAATGCCCTGGAACCAGCTCTCCTCTCCCGCAGGGCAGGCCTCCCCGTGGACTGGACCCCAGGCCAGGCCCCGCACCTGGCTCACGGTGTCCAGAAGGTAGATGCTATACTCGTTCCAGCTCAGCACCCAGCCCTCCCGGAAGAAGCAGGACACCAGCCCCAGGTGCTTCTCGGTGGAGCCGCAGCCTCCCCCATCTGCAGGCTCCAGTCGCGGGTATAGCTCGAAGGGCGGGACCCCACCGGCGAAGACATCCTTGAGGATAAAGGTGGCCTGCACGGTGCCGTGTGCGTCGGCCTTCCACAGCCGAAGTCCAGGCCGGGATGCGTACAGGGTGAGGTCGCTCTGCTTGCACAGTCCTGGTATAAAACAAGCACCAAATTTCCCAGTACTACAATCAGGAGAAAAAAAGAAAGAAAAAGCAGGCATGGACCGATTTACATGACACAGCTGCCAGCCCTGTGAGTCAAAACAAGAGTCCAGGTAACGGCTCCCACTGTCCTGTGGCTGGCTTCCTAGCTGCCCCCATGTTCCACCTTGGCTCCAGGCTCTGTGTGCAGCCTTGAAGCTCCCGGGGCAGCCTCTGGGCCTGCTCCAGCCAGCACAGGCACAAGGCAGCAGCCCTGGCTGGCCGTGCTCTGCTCTGATGCTGCGGCCTGAGCTGACTGCCGGGCCGACCCCAGCATGCTGCCCACACAGAACTCCCCTAATGTTACCAGGGCTTCCTTTCTGGCAGCCAGGCCGAGGATTCTTTTCCTTTTTAAATTATGAAATGCCTGAACATGCAAAAAACATGTAATAAAAGATACGTGGTCTTGTCAGGGATAGAGCTCAGTGGCACGGCACCTGCCTGGCAAGCTCGGGTCCTGAGTTCAATTCTTAGTACCAAAAGAAAAAAAAAGCCACAAGTTACACAGCCTAAAAGGGTGCCCAGGCACGTGCCCACCCTGACACAGGAAGTGCCAAGGGACCAGTGCTTCCATTCTTCCTGCCCGCTCTGGCCACAGCACTCAGCTGCTGTGTCACTCTCTTGCTCTTATTACTAGTTTAATCACACATCTACATATCCCTATACACCATTCAATTAGTACTGTCTTTCCACTTCCTCAACAACAGTGACCCTTTTTGTATACTTTTGCGATGTGTTTTCTCATTTAACACTGATTTACTCAGATAAGAAGACGATATTCATTTTCACTGCTATATCGTGTTCCACACCTTGTTTGCCCTCTTGTTGAAATCTGACTTTTTGCGTGCAGCTGGGGATTGTCCCAGGGCTGCGCACCGAGGACACCCTGCCACTCCCTTCCAGCTGTCACTGCTTTTTACTGTTTTCAACAGTGAATGTGCTGTGAGCACTCTGGCACACATACATGCTCCAGAGCACAGGTGAAAGAGTCAACTGAGCAGATTTCCAGTGTGAAACTGCTGGGTCTGCCCACGAGTACATTCAAGTTGAGAAAACAATTCCAGGCTGTCGTCTGTGTGACTGTGCTGCCCGCACATATCCAGAATTTGGGTTCTCAGTTCTCTGGGTCCCACGTCTGCGTCAACGCTCAGCCGCCCACCAGAATTCTGAAGGAAGAGGTTCAGGGTGGTCCTCAGCCTGGCTGACCCCACTCTAAACTATTGCTCAGCTTTCCTTTCCTTCTTGTTTTTCTTTCTTTCTTTTTACCGGTACCGGGGATCGAACTCACGACCACCTACTTGCAAGGCAGGTGCTTATGCCGCTGAGCTAAACCCCCATCCCCTATCCTTTCCTTCTTTTTGTTTTGCTTTTTGAGACAGGTCTCGCTTGCTCTGTAGTTCAGGCTGGCCTTGAGCTCCCTCTGCAGTTTCCTGAGTGCTGGGATTACAGGCTGCGCCACCACGCCTGGCTAGTTCTCACATTTTCAACTGCAGCGACAGCACTGGCTTTAGAGAGAGACCCCCACACCGCCCCACCGCCCACTTAAAAGCGGCACCATCTGGATCTCAGCCTCCCAGCCTGTAACAGCCAGCACAGGACTCCCTGCTCCAGGCAGAGTGTGGACTGAAAGGGAAATATATGGCAAGCAGAGCAAGAGACGCCTGAGATCCCTCTGTTGCCTGCGAGGAGCTGCCTGGGCCCGCATGGTCACCTAGGAAGCTCACCTTCACTGGGCCCATACCAGGCCCCGTTCCTAACCCTGACACACATGGCAGGCCTGCACCAGGCTGGGGGCTCCCCTGGACCTGCCGGAGCTGGCAGAATTTATGGGGGGTTCTCTGCATGTCATCGTCTTGCTAGGTCCTCAGTAACTAAATCCCTCTAGCTGGGTAAGGACGATGTTTCAGGTTCAGCTTTGCACAAAGATCAGCAGAGCAATCTACAAGGGGTCTGTTTCGCTTTGGTTTCTTCACAGTGCTAGGGACTGAACTCTGAATGCTCCCCAGTCCTTTTTAAAACTGATTTTGAGACAGGGTCTCGCTAAGCTGCTCAGGCTGGGCTCCAATGTGCAGTCCTCAGCCCCAGCCTCCCAAGTGCTGGCCCTGGTTACAGCTGGGGACCAACATGTCCGGCCCAAGAAGGATCCCACAGACAGCTTTCAGGGACTGACTGCGGCCTCCAGCACATTCAGGGAGTACCGGGGACACTCAAGAGGCGGCTCTGTGCCCATCCCTCCTGCCCTTTTGGTCAAGCCAACTTCTGTTTTGTTTTTTTTTTTTCCCCAGCCAACTTCTGCTTGGTGATTCCTGATGTTTTCAGTACTGGGAACAGAGCCCAGGGTCTCCGCATGAGCTACATCCTCAGTCTTATTTTACTCTGATACAGGACCTCGCCAAGTTGTCCAGGCTGGGCTGGAACTTGTGCTCTTCTTGCCTCAGCCTCGTGGAGTGCCTGGATCCTAGGTGGATGCCACAGGGCCAGGCTTGGAGACATAGTACTTAAATGTTTTTTCTATTTATGAGACTCCGTACAGGCTGGTCCCTTCTGTCTGGATTGGTTTCTCTTGTGTGGTTGGAATAGCGCCTGACTGGAATAGCGCCTAAGCACACCGGGGAAAGGTTCCCATGCCTACCGGGACTCCACGCCACAGGGCAGGAGGACAGTCTAAGGGGCAATGCAGGGTGCAGCCTGGGTGAAAGGGCCCAGCTCCCCCTCCCCCGCCCAGCAGATACCACAGCAAGGCTCTGCCAGGCAGGCCAGGGCCAGCTCTGGGCAGCTGTAGCCCAGAGCGCGGCCAACTTTGAGAGGCAGATGCACGGGGACAGAAGCTGAGGGAGGCGCCAGCGGCTTTCTGGGTATAGGACTCGTGCACCATGGACAGAGGAGAATAAACCACTGTGCTACTGCTGGCCATGGCACTTAGGGACAGTGGCAAGCACCAGGGTGACCTCACTGTCCTCCCCTGGTACCACCAGCTGTGCTGCCCCCTCCCTCACCCTCTGTGCCCTGGCCCAGTGCCACCTGCCTACCCATGAGGAAGGAGGAAGATGGGAGTCCCTCGGCCCTCAGCCTGTGGCTGTGCCACCCCCCCCCACCCCTGCTCCTTGTCCCTTCTGCCCTGTTCCCACTCTCTGACAAACTGGCAGCAGAGGGTGACAGGCTGGTTTCCTGGCTTTGTCGAGGAGGGGTCTACTGGGGAAGGAACACAGGCAGACTCCGGGGTGGAGCCCTGCGGCTCCCTGTACTGCCTCACCACAGAGTGCACGTGCGGGCTAGCATGAGCCACCAGGTACCCCTGAGCCAGGTGGGTGGCTGTAGCCCAAAGCTGGTACACAAGACACCCAGGGGACCTGAGGGCCACTCTGTCCCAAGAGAGCCGAGCACTCACACAGCTCACCTCTTCCTGGCCTGTGTCCCGATCTGCCGGACAGACTTCTCCTCGGTGTAGAAGAGCAGACTCCGCTGCAGGGTAGACACCAGCAGCACCTTCTGGCTGTAGTCCAGCTGCACGATGGACGCCGGCTCCTCCAGCACCAGCAGTGAGCTGCAGAGCCCCTGTGGACAAGCCGGAGCAGCCTGTGAGCTGCCTGCTTTCCTCTGAGTCGGGGTCAGGTCAGCCCATGGCGGAGCATCTGGTCAAATCACCCCCATCATGTCACCTCAGGCTTCATACGGGTCACTTAACAGTGTGCGTCATTTCTCTTAAAATGCTCTCAGTGAGTACTTCTCAGAGGAACCCACAGATTTCAACAGAAACACGCCACGCCATGTGTGTTGATTGTTCTATTATAAAACAGTGAAGACTGGGGCAGTGACCAGCTCTCCTGCTGTGGTCTCCTCAGAAGACTTCAAGGCCAACAGGGGACAATCATGCCAGCTCCAAGGGGCACAGGAAAACAGGTGGTCAGAAAGAAGTCACCCTGGTACTACACACATCAGGTGGTATTAATATAAAACTGTTTCCCTGGTGCGCAGTACATTCTAGCAGGCGTTCCAGTACTGACACTTTGTCATGGTACAGAAGGCCCCTTCTGCAAACCACTCTTCTCCTAAAGTAACACTGCTGCGAGCCAGGTGACGTACAAGTCTGAGCCGAGCTTAGGCTAGTCTATCAACTCAGTGAGAGTCTATCTCAACATGAAACATAAATAGGACTGGGGATGGAACTCAGGGCAGGCCCTGCCTCACCCCTCAGTCCAAACAAAAGGAAAAAAAGGGCTGCAACATTTGAGTAGTGAAGGGAAGCTCTGGATGGACTCATTGCTAAAATGCACATGGGGAAATTCACCATTTTTAGACACACAATTCTATGATTTCTGACAAACGTAGTTATGTAACTGCTACCACATTCGTCAGTGGTGGAGAACTCAGACCCAGCGCTGAGGAATCTGAAGGCAGCATCTGCCCCTGCCGGTGCAACACTCAGTAGAATGCAGGTCCAAGTCTCTAATGCAGCAGCCTGGGACATACACAAACTGCATTTTGCAGCAGGCACACGCGCGTGTGCAGGGTCCTCGCATCCTGCTGGGCCTCACGGCCACAGGCAGGAGCGGCTCTGAGTTTCTCACAGGTGTGAGGAGTAAGAAGGGCACTAGAGTGCAGGGGACCCTGATGCGGGGAAAAAGAGGTCGGCTCTGCCTGAGGCTCTGAGGCCCTCTCCAGGCAGCACGGGGCACGCTCGCCCCAAGGTTCTATCAGCCCTTCGTGCTGATGGGCTGGGGCACCAGGCCCCTCACTACCACACCTGTGTGGCAAACCCAGGCCTCACTGAAGAACCCTCATGCACAAAGCGATGACAGACAGGGATTTCTGCACAGGTCGTGATACAACAGGATGTGCACATGCAGCCCTTCTGCACACCGAAGCTTGCAGATTCTCTTGAGGAAAAGCCCTGCCCCTCACTGGAGCTGGGGTAAGCCGGCTGCTTTTTTCACAGAGAACCCTTGGGATGTGAAATACCATAATTATTTAAACGTGGGTATTTGGAGACGTTTCCAAAAAGGGAGCCTAGGCCTGAGGATGTAGCTCAGCGGTGTAAGTGCCTGCCTGGCAAGTGTGAGGCCATGAGTTTTATCCCCAGTACCAAAAAACCCAAAACGAGCAAACAAGCGAGCCTATCACTTCAAGAACAATGAGTGATAGTGTTATTCCCAAGTGAGGACAGAGTTCTGAAACCTCTGCCTTGCCGATGGCACAAACTGGATGGTGAATCCCAGCACCCGGGAGGCTAAGGCAGAGGAATCGTCATGAGTTCAAAGCCGGGCTGAGCCACACAGCAACCCTTTGTCTTAAAAGTTTAAAATCTCCCAGAAACCCAGTGTGAACACCTGGCAGTCACACGCTGTCCACGACATGAGGACAGGACCGGACTGAGCTGGGAAAAAGCCGCAGAGCAAAGCAGACTGGGGGCCCACCTGCCCACCTGCAGCGTCAGCTCCACCCCGTGCCCAATCTGTACAGGAGCCACTGCCGTGCACCTCCGCAACCTCCACTCCTCCTGGGCTCAGGCACACGCCTGCGGGAGGCCAGCGTTTAGCTACACTATGTGGCAGGTGGAATCCGGATGCCGGCCTCACCTCCTAAGCCAGCTGTGTTTTTCCGTCCTTCTTTCATTTTCTTGGTACTGGGAATTGAACCTAGAGCCTTCACCCTGAGCTCATCTCCAGCCCTTTTTAAGATTTTTTATTTTGAGACAGGGTCTCATTAAGTTATCTGGGCTGGTCTTGCACTTGGATCTTCTTGCTTCAGCCTCCCACAATGGTGGGACTGCAGGCGTGCACCACCCGGCCTAGCTAAGCCAGGCATCAGAGATTCCTAAAAACATCAACTAATGTCTTCTCATTTTTAAACTATTTTTTGTTTTGTTTTATTTTTGTTTTTTTGGGAGTTTGGGTCTCACTATGTAGTCCAGACTGGTCTCAAACTTGTGGCAATCCTCCTGCCTCAGCCTCCCACATGCTGGGATTACAGGTGTGTGCTACTGCACCTAGTCTTCTCGTCTGTTTTTTTTTTTTTCCCCCGGTACCGGGGATCGAATTCATGACTGTCTGCTTGCAAGGCAGGTGCTTATGCTGCTGAGCTAAATCCCCAGCCCCTACTCATCTGTTTTTACATAGGTATTTTTATTTTAAAGATGGTATCTATGCCAATATGTAATGGCCTTATTATTTCATATTACAATTAATATTAAAAAACTCCTCCAACTTTATTTCCAGCGCGGTCAATTTGATAGACACGACACAGGGTCTATCTTTAGACCCTTGGTCATCTCTTTAAGAGCACAGAGACACCCAAAACCAAGGGCTGAGGACTCCGTGGCTGCGCTTGTGCCACGGCCACCTGGGCCACATCCTGCCCCGTCCTGCCCTGCCCTCCGTTCCCTTGGAGACTACAGGTGAGTCCTCCATCTGCTGGACACCAACCTCTGTCACAGGAAGGCCTGGAAAAAGGTTGGCTGTGCTTCTGCTCACCTTTCAAGCAATCAGGGGTGGTAATAGCGTCTTCTCTTTTCTAAGTAGCAGTGGTAAGAACAGCACAATGAAAATAGTGTTTCACATAAGGGTAAGTGCTATCCACAGCCAGGCACAGTAGCATGAGTGTAACCCCGAACTCTGGGAGGCTGAGGCAGGAGGCTCACAAGTTCGAGCCTGGCCTCAGTGAGTAGCTGGGGATACAGTTCAGTGCAAAGGCCCTGGGCTCAATTCCTAGCACTTAAATCGAAGGGTGCGCTAGCACTTAAAAGAAAGAAACAACAGCTAGATGTGTTTACGCTGATCTGAATACTCACGACATCTACACAAATCAAGACAGCACAAGGTACCCATTAAGACGCACAGTTCTTACGCATCAGGAACAGCTTGAGGTACAGTGAGTGTTGCAGCAGGCCAATGTAAGTCAGAGACAACGCAAGTCAGTGTTTACAAAGCACTGGGAAGATCGGGAAAGAAAGCGTGGCCGATCACAGTTGTGACAAGAAATGAACAACAAACTACTTTTAGGTCGGAATTATCTGGTGGTGAAACACTATTCTGCTTAAATGGTTATGTTTTGATCTGTGCTGTTTTGCTGTTATGCCCTCTTTTTTCTCAATCTCCACTCCATTATTTACTTTTTTATTTTTATCCGTTTAATTAAAGGGAAAAAAATAGCAGGATATAATATAGTAACCCACTTTGACTTTCTATTATCTCGATTTGAAGCCCTGTATTACTCTCACCATCTTGTTTCTGACTGATGTTCCCCTATTCTGTTTTGATGGATAGTATCAGGTTTGAAAGTTTAGGCATCAGCTGTGAAGATAATGAGATTCATTATAACGCCCATTCTCGTTGACTTTTATCTACTTTTGAAGACCTACAATGTCTCCAATGTTTTGGTTTTGTCGGTTTTGTTCTTTACTATTTTGTTCAATTGTATTATAACTAATGATATAGGCAATTCTATTAGAGATAGCAGGAGGCATTATGGTAACCATTGTTGATCACCTTGTATTATGTCTTTATATTATCTATTATGTCCACCCTTTTGACTTGACTGATTCTGTCCTGTTATGTCTCATTTGGTTTTACTCTCTTCCAAAAAAGCAATAAGAACCGTGGGAGCAATGAAACCCAAAATGTGTAATAGTCATGGTACAAAAGAGAGGAAAAGAAAGTGCTCCAAACTATATAACTGCATGTATATTTAAGTGTGTAAGATAGAAAATGATATCACAGAGTTTTATTGGATCATTGAACAGAACTGTTTGCAGTATCATTGTTGGAATGTCCACTCTACAAGCTTTAATTTTGTGACTTGAACAATTATTTTTAAGATGGCAATATGTAATCCATTAACTAGTGATTTCCTACTGTTCATTTTTTTCTTCTATAAATCTGTATAACTTGTACCCTTTCACTTTTTTTTTCTTTTCTCCTTAAATAAAAAAAAAAAAAAATTAAAAAAAAAAAAAAAAAAAAGAAATGAACAACAGCCACGCAGACCAGCCACACAGGCCCCCAGACACACACGCTCGCCCCCCGTGGGAGCGGGGCAGGGGCAGTGACCCTGCGAGCCATGTCACCTGGTCCAGATCCAGAAAGGAGCACACGATCTTCCCTCGGTCGTCCCCTGAGAACAGCTTCATGCCATTGGGGCTCCAGGCCAGCGCTGTGATGCTGTTTCTGTGAACCCCGGTGACGTCAAACCTCCGGAGCTGTGGCAGCCAGTGAAACACAAGGCAGGGGAACGCGTGAGCGTGGGCTCGGCTGTGTGGTCGTGGCTCCCCTTCCCAGGAGCAGTGGCTCCATCTGCCCGCCTGGGGCCCCAGGCCTGGAGGTGCTCTGCCTACTGGCTGCCAAGGGCCCATGCGGGAATAAAAGAGCTGCCACCTAGAATCAGCGCAGAACTGCGCTTTTCTGAGCATGTATCTGCTAGGTGTGGGACAGTTTCATGGTGGTGAGTGTCTGTTACCCCAGGACTCAGGACGCTGAGGCAGTGGCATCCCTGGGAGCTAAGAGGCCAGCCGAGGATACATGGTGAGATCCTGTCTCAGAAAACACAGTAGGAGCAAAACCCCATGCAGAATGTGCTGGGCAGCGAGGAGGCACTGACACAGCGCGCACCCACCTGTTTGTTCCGTCCTGGCAGAGAGGACACCAGCTGGAAGACAGCGACCCTTCCGGAGGCGGTACCCGCGGCCACCAGGTCGTCAAAGCAGCTCAGCAGCTTCACCACAGTGATGGACTCCGTCTTCCCCTGCAGGAGCCAACAAACCTTCAGAGCAGGCTAACTGGGGCGATGGCAGCTTTCCAATGGGAAACAGGGCTGACAGCGCAGGAGGAAAGCACCTCAGGGCAGGCACAGCCCACGTTCCCGAAGACCATCAGGGTTGGGAAAGGCCCTTCCCCTCCTAGCGTTCCTGCCCTTAAGTTACATTTCAATAGAACATAAAGTTATCAAATCAACTTTTTTGTTAAAATGGTACTGTGGCTTGAACCCAGGACCTTTATACTCAGCTACATCCCCAGCCCCTTTTCTTTAAATCTTTTTTTGAGACAGGGTCTCACTGAACCCCCAAGTGGCCCAGCTGGGCTTGAACTTGAGACCCTCCTGCCCCAGCCTCTGAAGCTAGGATGACAGGCACAACTACCTGGCCCGGCTTATCATATCCTTCACTGTTAGGGAGCTGTACAACCATCACCCCTTCACCACCGAAATCCCTCCCATCAACCGATCCCTATCCTCCCTCTCGCAGGACCCCCCTCCCCCCCAGTTCGATAGTGCTCTGTGGCCCAAGGAGGGTCACACAGGCACCCTCCTTTCTCTGCCCGCTGTAAGGGGCTGGGGATTTAGCTCAGTGGCATAAGCGCCTGCCTTGCAAGTAGGCAGTCGTGAGTTCAATCCCTAGTACCGATAAAAAGGAAAAAGACAAAAAAAAAAAAAAAAAAAAGTCTCTCTGCCCGCTGGAACCCAAGGTCCTGGGGCTCAGGTTCCCCCTGCCCTAAGGGCACAGGGACATATGGCTGTGATGTGTGAGCCAGGACCCTGCTGTCCTAATGTGCTCACAGAGGCACATGACTATGAATGTCTTTTCAGGCCCAGGGCCACTTCCCTTGGGCTTGTGTTCACAGTGGAGCTGCTGGCTCCAACCACTGCTCCCTCTTCAACTCGCTCTGTCCCGCGGCTCTGGGAAGCGAGCCCGGCCCCTCACGCCCAGCCAGCTCTGGAGCCCTTTTCATTTTTAGTGTGGACAGGCTCTCACCAAGCTGCCAGGCTGCCCTAAAACTCTGACCATCCTGCCTCAGCCTCTTAAGTGGCTACAGTTACAGCTTTATTTTTAATTTTTGAGGGATCACCAGTTTCCTAAAGCAACTGAACTACATCCCGACCAGCACTGTGCAAGGCTCCGTTTCCCACACCCCAGGTTTCCCACATCCCAGCCAAGGTGTGTGGTTTCAGTTCTGTTTCTTTTTACAGCAGGCGTCCTGGTAGGGGGGCGCTGCAGCAGTTCTGTCTAGGTCTCCTGAGTGACTAGGGTGGGGGGGAGTGGCTCTTCACAGCTTGGGTCTCTAGAGAAGTGACTGCTGGAGTCTCATGCCCAGTCTCAGCTTGCTTCCATACATTCTGGATATAAACCCACTACCACAGCTGGATGCAGTGGCACACGTCCATGATCCTGATACTTGGGAGGCTGAGGCAGAAAGACTGCTGCCAATTCAGGCCTGACTGAGGCTAGAGTTCAAGGCCAGCCTGAGTTATACTGCAAGACCCTGGCTCAAAAAAAAAAAAAAAAGTCCTTTTGCATATATCATTTGTAAATATATGGAGCAAACATTTCTCCCATTCTGTGAGCTGCCTTTTTAGGCTGCTGCCAGTGACTTCTGAAGAACACATTTTCGAAATTTTCACAAAGCTCAAATTTTCTTACTGCTTGTAACTGTGATGTCATAGCTAAGAAACTGCTGCCGAATCCAGCGTGTCATACTTTCACACTTCTGTCTGTAGCGCAGGGTAGGCAGGGACAGACTCCACATGCAAGTGCCCGATTTTCCAGCGCTGTGGGAAGACCCGCCTGCCCGCCTACTCCCACTCCTCCCAGACGCCACTGGACCACACGTGGGTTTACTCTGGGGCTTCTCCCCACTCGTGGGGTCCACATGATTGTCTTCATTACCAGCCTCACACTGATTTTTAGTGAGTTTTAAATTTAGTATGTGTGAGATCTCAGGCTTTAGTCTTCCTCCAGGTTGTTTGGGATTTGGGATCCGTCATCCACTGAGACCCCACATGAATTTCAGGATGGGTTCTTCTGTTTTTGCACACACTTGTAGACGTTTTCACAGACCCCGTGCTGAGTGGATTCATCATGAGGAGCAGTGCACACATCTTAGCTGTCACGTCTGTGTCTCTGACAACACAGGGGCACCCATTCTTCACCTGTAACCTTTCATCTCCTTAGTTATACCTAAGTGTGTTATTCTTCTTGATGCTATTTTAAATGAAACTGTTTCCTTAATTTCAGATTGTCCACAGTGTTTAGAAATACAATTTTTGTTTTTTTGGTACCGGGGCTCAAATTTACAACCTGGAGCTTGCAAGGCAGGTGCTTACACTGCTGAGCTAAACCCCCGGCCACAACTTAGTTTTGAGTTGTCTTTGTGTGCTGCTACATAAGAATTTGTCAGTGCAAACAAAAATTCTGGGTGGAATATTCACAGTTTTCTCTATGTAAAATCGCATCACTGGACACGATGGTGCACTCTGGGGGCTGAAGCAGGACTTTCCAGCTTTCCCCCATGGAACATGGTGCACTCTGCAAGCTTTGCCTGGAGACACTCATCATGTTGGGGGAGAAGTCTTGTGAATCCTAGCTGGGTGCTGAACCCATCAAAGGCTAGCCGAGTGGCCGTGTGACCGACAGTGCAGCTGACTGTCCCTGTACCCAGGAGTAAATTCCATTCTGGTCACAGTGGAGAAGAAGCCTGTCCACCTGCGGCTGAGTGCAGTCACCAGGCTCCTGTTCAGAACTTTTGCGCCCGTGTTTGTAAGGTATACATTCCTTGCAGTTTTCTTTTCTCTGGTGTGTTTGTCTCACTTTGTTATCAAAGTAATTCTGGCCTCCTGGGATGAGTCAGGAAGTGAGAAAGGGACCAAGAGATGGAGGAGGAAAGGAGAAGCGATGTGGGCAGAATGAAGACGCCATTTGTCAGCACCATGCAGCACACTCGTCCCAGCCCGACAGCCTCGTGCTGCTGCTGCTGCTGCTGCTGAGGAGCCTCTCTTCACCATGCTGAGGTCCCGTATGTGACACCTCATTTTCCCCTTGCTTTCAAGCCTCTCTCTGCCTCTGGCTCCTGAAAGCTTCATTAGAACATGCTTGGTGTGAGTTTCTTGTGGTTCAATCTAGTTGGCGTTCACTGAACTTGGGCGGCCGTATTTGTGCCTTTTGTCAAAGCCAGGAAATTCTGAATTGTTTCTGCCCCAAAAGCTCTTTGCCTACTGTGACTCCCACAGAGATGTGTCCACCTGACAGCCACAGGTCCCTGTGCTGGGTCTACTTCCCTTCACGTGTATTTCTGTCTTCCTCAGACCTGACCATTTCAGTTGTTCTGTTTTTTAGTTGTTCTTGCGTTCTGTCTCTTGCCTGCTCATACCTGCCTTTGAAGCCCTTGGTGAATTTTACATTTCAGTCTGTGCTTCCGATCTTCCTTCAGTTTCTCGGGAACCCTGAGGCTGCTGTCTTTAATCCCTGCAGCAGGTCCACCAGCTGGTCTGGTCTCTTCCAGGGCGTCTCTGCAGCTTCTCCCCACCCCAGCTGGGCCACAGCCCTGTTTCCTTGTGCCCAGGGGGCTCCCTGGCTAACATTAGATGGCTGAGTCCAACAAGGAGGCTCTTCAGGAAACCAGTTCCTTCCTCTCCAGAGCTCCCAGGCCTCCTGAGAACCTCAGTATTTCTGTCACTGAGTGGTCACAGCTGTCTCGGTGCTGAGGGTCAGCCTGGGGCATAAAATAAGGTTTTCTATAGGTTTTTTTCTGGGTTGACGCCTCTTCCTGGCCAGGCAGAGTTATCTCCCAATTTCCTCCTTACATGTAGCTACTTTTCAATGTTTTATTCTTTAATGTCCAGTTCCCAAAAAGGGAGAGAAAATCCAACCAAGTGGGAAAAAGCTGAGAGTTCTTTGAACACCCCAGAAGTCACCCCAGCTGGAGAGGCAGGGGCAAACGGCAGCAGCAATGGCTGGCCATATTTCTGCTGTGCCTATGTGACCAGAAGACTGACCAGACCTAAGACACCAGCTGTGGGAGGAAGCGGCTGCTGTCCATGGGCACAGGGCGGGTGACAAACTCAAACGGACTGCATTACCTACAGCTAGCATCTCAGCCTCCCTGAGGCCTCACGGGGCTCCAGGCCTGTCACCTCTGTAGGGTCTGCCTGGCAGCCGCTGCCCATGAGGGACAAGTGTTACCGGCTCCTTCCTCTTCAGGCCTGACATCCTCAAAATGACAAAAGCCTTAAGACTTCCTTTCTAATGAAAGAAATGATGATCAATTATGAATACACTGAGCCCTTAAAGAACTAAGAAGCATCACCAGGAAAGATGCTTCCTAAGTAACAATGAAGCACACCCTGCCCCACTGTGAGCCTGGAGTCAGAGGAGCCACTCCAGAGACTCGGCCTGCTCGGGTCTCCCACCTGCCTCCGCGTAGACCCTGCTGTCCACACTGCCTGGCTCTGCGTGACACAACTGACCACAACTTATAAACCGAGGGCAGACACGTTTCAGTTCTCATATCTACAACTGTATTAAATGCTCACACAAGTTTTGTATTCTGGCTTACAGAAAAGCACCTGCACAGGACAGACCTCTGGTCCATCTGAGCAATCACTCTGGATCCTGACGTCACTCATTCAGAAGAACTGCACAGCTGTTTGCACCTTGCTAGGATACTCTGTCACCTCTCATAAACCATCGTCACCTCTGATGTGGTCATTTAGGTGCTGCTACTGAGCAAACTGCCGCCACCACATTCCCTAAAGCAGATCACAGCCGCCTGTCCTGAGGGACGGAACTGCAGCCCTGAACCACACATGAAAGCTGCCTGCAGGATGGGCTCTCTTCCTCCTGGGGCCTAACGGCTTCCAGCGCTGGGCCAGGGTCACAGCACAGGTGATGAGATCTGATCTTAAGGACAGAAGGGAGCAGAGGGCTCCCTTGCCTAGCCCACGTTCTGTGGATGTCGTGGTCAGGTGCTCTT